CGGGTGTGGCATGGGGGGGGTAGGGTGTGTGCGAGAGCTCGCGCTGCACTCTGACCACCCCCCAACCCCACCAAGCTCCATTCAACATTTTTTTATTTAAAAAAAAATTTTTTTTATTGGGGCGCCTGGGTAGTAGCTCAGTCGGTTAAGCGTCTGCCTTCGGCTCAGGTCATGACCCCAGGGTGCTGGGATGGAGCCCTTGCATCCGGCTCCCTGCTCATCCGGGAGCCTGCTTCTCCCTCTGCCTCTGCCGCTCCCCCTCCTTGTGCTCTCTCTCTCTCAAATAAAATCATAAAATCTTTAAAAAATACATTTTATTTATTTTTTTGAGAGAGCGATCGAGCCAAGGACAGAGGGGGAGGGAGAGGGACAAGCGGACTCCGCGGGAGCCCGAGGCGGGCTTGATCCCGCAGCCGGAGATCACGACCTGGGTGAAACCACGAGTCCCACCTCAACCGACTGAGCCACCCAGGCGCCCCTCCATTTGCCACTTTTAAAAAAAGGCAAAACCCCTCCATGGCTCCCCTCACCATCAGGAGGAATCCAAACTCCTGACCACCGCCTCCCAGGCCCTGCACCATCTGCCCCCTGACCTCCCCTCTCCCTGGCTTCCACACTTACCATCACCCTGACCTCCCCTCCCCTGGCTTCCACACTTACTACAGCCCCCCCCATCCCCCCGCCGTTTCTACTCTGCCCGCACACCACCCCGCACACCCCTGCTCAGGGCTTTGCTGCTCGTGCCTTCTCCTGGTCCAGTCTTCACCCAAACACCTGTCTTCTCTCCATCGCTCAGTCAGGTTTTCGCGAACGTTACCGGAGCAGGGGGGCCTCTGGGGCAGAGGAGCGCCTTCCCCAGCCCCGCTGGAGGCTCACTCTGCTTTAGTTCCTCACGGCTTGTCATGTGCCAACAGTTGTTCGATTGTCTGACGGCCCCCCCGGAGCCTGGAGCTAAAGCTCCTCAGGTACCTGGGACTCTCCTCCGTGGCTGTCTCTCCAGCATCTAGAGCTGTGTCACCAACACACAGATGCTCCATAAATGTGTTGAGTAAGTTGCTTTGCCAAGAGGGCAGAGAAGACAGGGAGAGAATGTAAGCTGCCTGCAACAGCAGAAAGCCTGGGGAGGCTTTGGTCTTTCACTGCCTGTGGGACCCGACGGGGGTGACCCCCACTGCCTGTAGGACAAAGGCAGGTAGGCCCCCAGGAGACACATGGGTAAAATGTGGAAAGTTCAAACAGGAGCTAATGAAGTGGAAGCAGAAGTGGGCCGGGTATCCTGCCTCCACCATTTTCCTCCTGGCTCTTCAGGCACCGCATCAGAGCAAACCCTGGACGTCCCCACATTAGCCGCACCACGGCCTATCTGGTCTCTGGGACCGACAGAGGATGAACCCTGAGAACCCTCCCACTGGAAGAAAGGCCTCTATTACCCTCCAGAGAGGGGCTGGAGGGCCTGCTGTGGGGAACCCAGGGACCAGTCTGCAGGCATGGGGGAGACTCTGGCTCTCTGCATGGGTGGGGTCAGTGCTTCAGAGTGAACCTATGACAAGTGTGGGGGCCTCTGTTCGGAGGGTCCCAGATATGTCATGCATGGAAGGACGAGGGCATTCTCCCAAGGTGTTCACCTCAGACCTCTCAGAGCTGCCATCTTTGGTATCTGGTGTTTGGTTCCATCCTGTGGGATATACTCCTAATAAGGAAGAGGAGAGAGACAAACAATAGTGAGAGAGGAGACAGGAAAGAGAGACAGTTTGGGGGAGGAGGAGAGACAAAGAGAAGAGGCAGACGGAAAAAGGCACGGAGAGAGGGAATATAAAGAAAAATCCTCAGAACAGGAGATGAGGGGAAGAGATCAAGACAAAGAGAGAGTCGGGAAAGAAAGGAAAGCCAGAGAGGACAAGAGACAGAACAAAACATCTGGAATGAAGAAGTTATGTCAGCAGGACAGGCTTGTTTTGGAACTTGGAGAGGAGCCCTCAGACAACGTGTTCTGGAATCTCCAGTGAAGAGCCCTCTCCTATTGCCGGCTCCTTAGGGTGTGGCTCCCTTGTGTTCTTGGGAGGAGTCCTCAGTCCTAGATGGTGAGCCTGGGATGGGTGGGTGCCCTGTGTGTCCAGCTACTAGTCCTTAAAAACTGAGGCTAATGACTCCAGCCCCTCCCTGGGCTCCATCCTTCCCTCTGCTTGGGAGGATCTGCTGACTCAGAGGGTCAAAGAGCCAGTCTTAGAGGGGTCAGGAAGTAGGACTCAGGGGTCTGTCTTAGGGACTTAGGTGGAAGGGAAGGGCCTCCAAAGAGAAGAAATCTATGACATCAACCCTGGGGAGGTTTCAGACCTATGGGAAAGAGCAACTGTCCAGTGTGGGCTGTAGCCCCCAGAAAATTCGGCCATAGCTCCTGGATGGAAGTCCTAAGGCCCCTAGCCCAGAACTGCCCCCAAAGGACGACCTGTTTACTTTTACTTCCTTAGCTTTCCACTTGCCCTCTGGACCTCTGTTCCCAGGAGGGGGATCTACAGGAGTTCAGTGTCCACCTGCAACACCATGTTACCTTTTCAGAAAAGGTTTGTGAACAGTCTGGCAGGTTGGGGATGGATGGATGGAGGGGAAAAAAAACAAGTACAGCAAAGTATTAACCATGGTAGAATTGACATGGGGGTATGTGGGTGTTCACTGTATAATTCTTTCAATTTTTCTATATGTTTGTGGACTTTTTTTCCATATAAAGTAACAGGGAAGACAGAGAAAAAATTGCCTGGAAAATAGTAGACACTCTTAAGTATAGGGCGTTGGGAGTGTAATCCCTTTCCAGGAGAATCTATATTTCAAATGCCCTGAGAGGACAGTGTTTATCCTGAAAGATGACAGCTTGCAGGAAAGAGCACCTGCAGAACACCCAAGGAGGGGAGGGAGAACCTTAGACCACACTGGAAGTGATTAGTAACTTTGCCCACCCAAAGCTTCTGGTCCCTTTTCTCAAGTTTATTCTGCCTGTCCTGAGATCTGGGCCTTGGCCCCAAGTGGACCCCACACTGTGACCTGTAACCCTTGCGGGGAGAGGTAGGATAAAAAGTTCCAGACCCTGCCTGACAATCGACCCTGAGAGATTGATCATATTTGCTCAGGAGGTGAGGTTCACACGATAAAGAGCAGGGGGAGGGCTTGGACCTGGTATAAAAGATCTGAGAGTTTCAGGGGGGTTACTTTGCACTTGAAACTGGCAGGTGAGGGGTGACAGAGGCCTGAGCTAACGGGTGACAGGGATGGCTGGGTTCGAGTTAGGGGGAATTCAAGCTGAGCTGGACAGAAAACTGCCTGGATTGAGCAGCAGGGGAGACCTGTGTGTCAGCTAACTGGCGCCTCTGCATCTGAGTGAGGTGCAAAAATATCTGGGTCTCGGTGGAAGGACTGGGGATACCTGAGATGCTCGGGGTCATCGATGTGGCCGGATTTGTGTTAGTGGAGAAAGAACGACACATAGAGCAGGCATCTGGCATCTACTATCTTGAGCTGGTCCAAACTCCTTCCGCAATCTCTCAGTCTATATCCACCTCCGCTTGAACTACTCTGATGGTGGCACAGTCTCATCTATCATCAACTCCACTCCCTGGGTGACACAGAGACGCAACTCTAAAATGCTCCTTTCCTTCTGATCAGAGACCAGCGCAAAGCTAAGAATTTGAACTCTGCCCCAGATGTCCCCCAAGCCAGGCCAGTCCATCACAGGCCGATTTCAGTTAGGTTTTGCTCAGACTCCTGGTTTGGGAAACTCAACCATCTCTATGATTTGGAGATGGTCTCTACTTCTTTGCAAACTCCTTTCCTGCTTCGTGCCAGGAGGGAACAGGACTTAACACAGCTTGGTCCAGATAGAGGGTTAGGATTGATCTTCCGATCTGGGATGGAAGAAGGGAGTTGGCTACCTCCGTACCAGGGAGGACAGAGGGGTTAAGGACACAGAAGACAGTCTTCTAGGAGCAGGACCAGAGACTAGGGACAATCCTTTCTAAACCCAAGACCAGGTCAGTTAGGTCTCAGTTGAAGGACAAAGAAGGCTGAGTCTCCACTGGAGGTCAGGGATGCCTGGCTAAATGAAGTCCAGAGGAAAAAGGCTAACCCTTGACTTTCTCCTTTCTTTCCACTTCAGCGCCAGGATGTTGACCACTGCTCTTCTTGCCCTTCTCTGTGCATCCGCCTCAGCCAGTGCCAGTAAGTGAGAAGCCAGGAACCCAACACTAGCGTCATGGGAAGGCAGCCTCCTGCACTGCTGGTGGCCAAGCTGGCTTGGAGTGCTGGGCACTGAGTTGTGGGAGGTATAGGGATGGTGGGGAGAAACTGAGCTCTTGAGATTTCTCCTTCTGACTCCTGCTGTCCCCTCCAGTTCAGGCTACGTCCTCCTCCTCCAATGGAGAGTATGGAGGCAGAGGAGGGCAGCGATTCTCCCATTCTGGTTACCAGCTGGCAGGCCCCATCACCGCCATCCGTATCCGGGTCAACAGATACTACATCGTAGGGTAAGATTCTTTGTGTTTCTCTGGGTTTGGGGATCCTCTCTGATCTTGCTAAACTGGAAAGTTCTCAGTCACTTTGGGTTACGTCTGTTCCAGTCAGGAAGTCCCAATGATAATATGTGACAGTGGTTAGAGGACAGAGATCTGAGGCCAGCACTGCCACAGCCTCCAGCACATGCAACCTTGGGCAGGTCATATACCATAGCTGTTCAGGCGCCTGGAAGGTGGCTGGTTTGGCCCCGTCCAAGGTGTAAGGCCCCTCTGGCATCCTCCATCTTTGCTGATGCGTCTTCCAAAAATGTGTATCCTTCTGATCCTGGACTATATCCTGGGACAACAAAGTCTCTGCCCTCATGAGAACCTTCCAGAAAGATCCCTCTGCTCCTTTCACATGGGGCAGGGGGTGTGGGTGGGGGGGGGGGGGGGGGGCATAGCAGGAATCTAGATTTTTTTTTTTAAAGATTTTATTTATTTACTTGACAGAGAGAGCGCAAGTAGGCAGAGAGGCAGGCAGAGGGAGAGGGAGAAGCAGGCTCCCCGCCGAGCAGGGGGCCCGATGTGGGACTCGATCCCATCATGACCTGAGCCGAAGGCAGCCGCTTAACCGGCTGAGCCACCCAGGCGCCCCAAGGAATCTAGATTTCAAAATCAAGCTCCAACACTGGTCTGGTCTGGGTGACTCTGGCTAAGTGACTTTTCCTTTCTGAGCCTATGTGTTTGTCGGCAAAATGAGTTGAAGTTCCCTGTATGATCTCAAGGGCTCACTCATCCCTCACACACTGTGGGACTGGCAGGAGACCTGTCACCCCTGTCACCAGTTTGCAGGTCTCGGCGGCTAGGCCAAAGGGTCCTGAATTCGGATCACCCCACTCAGCGTCAGTCTTCCTTCCCTCCCCGCCCGGCCCCTAGGCTCCAGGTCCGCTATGGCAAGGTGTGGAGCGACTATGTGGGTGGCACGCGGGGAAACCTGAAGGAGATCTTCCTGCACCCTGGGGAGTCAGTGATCCAGGTGTCTGGCAAGTACAACTACTACGTGAAGCGGCTGGTCTTCGTGACTGACAAGGGCCGCTACCTGCCTTTTGGGAAAGGCAGAGGCAGGGGTTTCAATGCTGTCCCCTTGTACCCCAACACTGTGCTTCGATTCATCAGTGGCCGCGCTGGCTCCCTCATCAACGCCATCAGCCTGCATTGGGACATCTACCCCAGTGACTGTGGCAGTTGCTGAGCCTCAGCTTCGTCCCAGACCGGGCACCGCAAGGGGGTGTGAGAACCTCTTTACCATGAACCTCATCCACATGGCTCAATAAAAAAGCTAAAAGGACATAGCTATCGCCTGTGTCTGTGGGGGTGTGCCGCTGGGATCTGCCTCCTGGCTCTGGCTCTGGAGGTGCGAAGCTCGTTTCTGGCTATCTGTTGGACGGACGTCATTCTGGGGAAGAGTGGCAGGGGGGGGGAGAGAGAGAGAGAGGTGCAAAAGTCTTGGGCTTTTCTTCATAATTTTTCAAGAGGAGATAAGATTCGGGCTTGTACCGACTCTTTTCTTCAAGGATAGCTCCTGAGACTGTTTACCCAAACTGGTGTTCTAAGGCTGGCGGTAAGGCCTAGCTGTGGCTCATCGCCAAACGCCCAGATGTTCCACTCTCTCACCCTGCTCTCCCCTTGAGATAGTGCCTCTCCACCAAAAAAGGCTCTTGACTTTAACTCACTTGCTGTCTCTGGCCTGGGCCATTTTCCTTTGCTCTTTCCCAGAATCCACCTGACTCCCAAAGCATGGCCTATGTTTGTGTCAAGGACCTTGCCTGTTACTCCAGCCTAGTTTCCACCGCCCCCCTCGCCCCCCCGCCTGCCGCCTTTGCCCAGAAGCACTGGTGTCCTTGCTTAGTTTAGCTCGCTCAAAATTGGGCTTGTTTCCCTAGGAAGCCACCACCTCCTCAACAGCTTCTCCTCTGCCAATACCATCCTCAAACAAGGGCATTACAAGAGGGGTAGATTTCCATCGTGGGTTTCCATGAACTTAGGGGGCTGCTTAGTGTTCCAGAAGCAACAGAGTGGCTGCAGAGATACATCAGGGATATAAAGGTGCTTTGGAGAGAATTCTTAGGACTCTAGTTGCCAGTCCTAAGGCTGTGACGGTTTTTTGTTTTGTCTTTTGGTGGTGGTGGTTGGGGGTGGGGGAGGTCACTCAGTGCTCCCAAAAGATTGATTCACATCATGGGGAGTGCCGGAGTCACATTTCTCCCCAGTCAGACAAAGATAACAATTATGTAAACATAATTCTATTTTTATTTTTTAAAGATTTTATTTGTCAGAGAGAGAGCACAAGCAGGAGGAACGGTAGGCAGAGGGAGAAGCAGACTCCTCGCCAAGCAAGGAACCTGATGTGGGACCCGATCCCAGGACCCCAGGATCATGACCTGAGCTGAAGGCAGAGGCTTAACTGCCTGAGCCACCCTAGCGTCCCTACATGTAATTTTATTTTATTATTATTACTTTAAAGATTTTATTTATTTATTTGAGAGAGAGAGAATGAAAGAGAGAGCACATGGTGGGGGGAGGGTCAGAGGGAGAAGTAGACTCCCCGCCGAGCAGGGAGCCCGATGCGGGACTCGATCCAGGGACTCAAGGATCATGACCTGAGCCGAAGGCAGTCGCCCAACCAACTGAGCCACCCAGGCGCCCTATTTTATTATTTTTAAAAGATTTTATTTATTTGACAGAGACACAGTGAGAGAGGGAACACAAGCAGGGGGAGAGGGTGAGGGAGAAGCAGGCTCCCTGCTGAGCAGGAAGCCTGATGCTGGGCTCCATCCCAGGACCCTGGGATCATGACCTGAGCCGAAGGCAGATGCTTAACAACTGAGCCACCCAGGCGCCCCCTTACATGTAATTTTAGAAAGAAATACTAACATTATAGAAGTAAACTCATACCTAGCTTGTTTTTATAACAATTTCTTTATTTCTCTCAAACAATTCCATGGAATGGAATAATTATGTCACTGTAATTACATTTTTTTGAGATATAAAGCACATAAGATTCACCCCTTTAAAGTGTATCATTTCAGTGGTTTTTAGTACAGATTGTGCAACCATCATCTCTAATTCCCGGATACTGTCATCAGCTCAGAAAGAAACCTCATCCCCATTAAGCAGTCACCCCCCCATTCCTTTCTCCAGCTCCTCGTAACCACCCATCTACTTTCTGTCTCAATGGATGTGCCTATTCCCAACGTTTCACGTAGAGGGAATCATACAATAACGTGGCCTTTTGTGTCTGGCTTCTCCCACTTAGCATATTTGCAAGGTTCATCGATGCTGTAGCACGTGTCAGGACTTTGTTCCTTTGTATGGCTGAGTCTGATAGAGCTATCTGGTCAACTTCAGGACACGCTTTAAGCTAGCGGCTTTCACACGGGGCCGGGTGGACGCACTCGTACCTTAGAGGCAGAAGCAGAAGAGGATGAAGTAATGGGATTCCTGGCTATTGTCTAGCCTACATATTAGGCTTTTGTAAAAGATTTGATTTAAAGAAAATTTTTCTTTACTTATAAAGTTTGAAAATTGCTAAACTGAGCTAATCCTACATTTATCAAATATTCTCTGCTAGGTGCTTCAGAATACAAAGACCACTGAAAGTTGGATTCTTTTCCTCTAGGCTAAGGGAAGACTTGGTGAAGGAAGAGGGGTGTGTGTGTGTGTGTGTCCACGTGCGCACATGCGTACAGGGGCCCAGTACTGGGCTCAGGCCCCAGGTTATGCAGAAATACGATCATATGAAAATGACAAGTGGTTTAGCACAGCTAAAATGCAAAGTACAACTCGGCAAAGATGAAGCTCATGGACAGGCAGGGACCATGAATGTCATGCTAAACTATTGAAACTTTATTTATTTTATGGGCTACATGAAGCCATTTAACCAAAATTTCACGCAAGGGATTGATAAGGATTTATAAGAAAGTCATTTTTTTCTGGTATAAGTAGGGAAAATGGATAGAAGGTGAAGCAGGGTAATAGTTAAGAGAATAGGTCTAGATCAGTGATGATGGATTATCTGAACAAAGGCAACCATGTGAGGAAGAGAAGAGAGGGAGGAATTTGAGAGATTCAAGGGGGAGGGTGGACTCAGAAGAACTTGATAAATGAACGCATGAAGGTGCGTGAAGGAGGAAAGTCTAGAACTACCATGTTTAGTATCGGCAACTGGGAAGAGTTGGATCCTCTCTAAGATGAGGAGTACAAGGAAAAATTAGCCTTGTTTTTAAATTAATTAATTTTGGGGGGGGGAAAGGCAGAGGAAGAGAGAGAATATTAAGCAGGCTCTATGCCCAGCGGGGGGGCCTGACACAGGGCTTGATCTCACAACCCCGAGATCAAGAGTTGCATGCTCCACCGACTGAGCCAACCAGGCGACCCCTATAGATAAAGGGATTTATTGCAAAGAATTGGCTCCACAACTGTGGAGGCGGGTGAGGCAAATCTAAAATCTGGAGGGCAGGCTGGCCATCTGGAAACTCGAGGGCAGGAGGGTGTGCTGCAGTCCATGGGTGGAATTTCTTCTTCCTCAGGGAAACCCCAGTTTTGTTCTTTTGCTTCCTTGTAAATTAATGTATTATATTATCAAATTTTACACTTTTAGTAACTTAATTTTCTTAAAATTTTTTTCCGGCTTTATTGAAGTATAATTGACAAATAAAATTCTAATATTTTTGAAGTGTACAATGCGATTTGATACGTATACCTGGTGAAAGGACTCCCACAATCAAGTTAACTCACACATCCATCACCTCAGTTACCTTAAAAAATTTTTTTGAAGAATAATTGACATAGAATATTGTATTAGTTTCAGGTATACAACATGGTGATTCACTCTTTAAATACATTATGAAGCGGTTGGGGTGCCTGGGTGGCACAGTCAGTTAAGCGTCCAACTCTTGGTTTCGGCTCAGGCTGTGGTCTCAGGGTTGTGAGATCGAGCCCCGCCTTGGGCTCCATGTTCAGCAGACTCTGTTCCTCCCCCCTGCTCATACTTGAACTCTCTCTCAAATAAATAAAGAAATAAATAAAATCTTAAAAAAATTGTTACAATATTATTAACTATATTCCCTACGCTGTATATTATATCCCCATATCTTATTTATTTTTAAAGATTTTATTTATTTATTTGAGAGAGAGAGAGAGAACATACAAGCAAGGGGGAGGGGCAGAGGGAGAGGGAGAAGCACACTCCCCACAGAGCAGGTAACCCAATGCGGGGCTTTATCCCAGGACCCTGGGATCATGACCCAAGCCAAAGGCAGACACTTAACTGGCTAAACCACCCAGTCACCTCCCATATCTTATTTTATCAATAGTTACCCTTTAAAAAAAATTTTTTTTGTGAGAATGCTTAAGATCTACTAAGTTAGCAAATCGCAATCATACAATACAATATTTTCAACTTTAGTCACCATGCGACACAGTGGAAAGTCTGCACCCTTTTACTAACATCTCCCCATTTCCCATACTTCCCAGATTTTGGCAACCACATTCTACTGTTTCTATGTGTTCAACTTTTTTTTTTTTAAGTAATCTCTACTCCGAAGGTTGGGCTTGAACTTACCACCCTGAGATCAAGAGTGGCGTGCCCTACCAACGGAGCCAGTCAAGAGCCCCGGTGTTCAACAGCAACACCTAGATTAGTTTTGTTTGAATGCTCGACTACAGCCTAGCCAGACATATAAACTACCTGTTGCACCTGAGAAAACCTAGGAGGGCTGGGGGTGGGGAGTTAGGACAATAGCAGGCAGTGAAGGAGTTTGCTGACCAAAATCAGATAAAATGATTACTGAGGAATGCAGGGAATTTAGCTATTAGCTACTAGAGGTCATAGTGAGTTGACAGAGTACTGCCCAGGGACTTGGGAAAGCTAAGTCCTACTTTTGCACAGCTACATGGTCTCATTCAAATCTCTTAACCTCTCTGGGTTTCAATCACCCATTTGTAAAATGAGCTTCTCTGGGTCACATGCTCTCTAAGATGTATTGAGCTCATACATCTAGAAATCTAATTTCTAAGACTTTACTGTTACATGAAAACAACTGGCCTCATTGTGCAGTGGTTGAATGCTATATAGGGATAACTGAGCTATGTGTATGAAGAAGGTGGCCTGGAACAGGGGCATGCCTGAGGTCTCCCCAAGTAGGAAGTGTGCTCTGGAACATGTCTGGAATGAAGGGCCCAGAGGCCCACAAGCTACAAAGAGAGCCCACAGCTCCTCTGATGGCAACCTGGAGCCGAAAGCAAACTTTCAAAAAGAACACTCCTCCCCTCCCCCACCACCCACCCAGCCTCCACCAGCTAGGGGCGCCTGGCTGGCTCAGTTGGTAGAACATGGGACTCTTGATCTTGGGGTTGTAAGTTCGAGCCCATGTCAGGTGTAGAAATTACTTTAAAAAAGC